AGCTGTTCGGCCAGGCCGACCAGTTGCCCGGTCACCTCCTGGATAACCCGCGAGGCCTCCTCCAAATCTGAGTCCGTGCTCTCCGACGCGGCTCTGCTGCCACTGCCGCTGTCAGCTTGAGGGACCGCGTCCTGGGCATCCTCGGACAGAAGCAGCCACCCTTGTAGTGCCCGCTCCCGAGCTCGCGGCAAACGCTCCACCGGCGCGAACCCCTCCCAGAGAGGAACATCGTGCCCGGCGCGGTGCCCCTTACGACCAGCACCGCTGCTGTCGATGCTGTCTGCGCTGCCGCTCAGGATGCGTTCGAACCCTTCCCCGTCCGAGCCCACGCCCGTGGCACCACCCCGGCCGACAGGCGAGTCGGCACAGTCGTGCCTGCCCCGCTCGTCTGCTCGCTGGCTGCGACCGTCGAGCGCGCCGCCTGCTGGACTCTCTGCTCCCGCCCCGGCCCGCTGCCCCCGGGGCGCCTGCCCCCGAGGCTCGCGAAGCTCACCTTTCGCCCCCGCCGCCCACGGCTGGCTCGTCGCCGCTGCCGCCGCCTGGGGAAACCAAGCTAGGGCGACGAAATCCATGCATATCCACGGCTCCCTGGCCAGGCCTATCCTGCGCCCAGCAGCGGTGTGTATATGCCACGCCCTGCTGGCTTGGCCAGGAAGGCGCATGCACACCTCCTGGGCCCAGGAAGGGCCCGGGCCAGGGGGCAGTGGATACGCATGGGAGCCGTCGCCCGACACAAGAAGGTGCAGGTACCCCGCTCCCCGGACCACTCCATGGGCGCGCTCGAGGCGAATATGCAGTCGTGGCGACGAGCGCCTCCTGGGAGGCCCCTGCAGGCGAAAACGAGGGAGAAGGGCCCACCCTTCCCTCGACTGCACGCAAGAGTGACCCTGAGTCAGAGTGACCTTCGGTGCGCGGCTTATTGGAGGCCGCGGGGGAGCCAGGCACAAGCGAGCAAGCCGCTGCTATCGCATCGCCTTCAGCGATCGGGGGGCCCTATAGTGGGCCCGCACCAAAAAAGTTCACTCTGGCGAAAGGTCACTCTTGTGTGTTATCGATTCCCTCCTCTGTTGAGCAGGGACCGACCGTCCCGGCATGCCTAGTCAAACCACGACATGTTCTTTGAAACCAGACATGTTCTAAGAACAAAAACAATGTTCTCAGAACATAAACCCGATGTGTTAAAACAAGACAATATCAACCAGAAGTGCTATCTAAGAACATCTCGTGGAAACCACGAGAAGTTCTAAGAACATTGTTTGGTCGGGCCCTAGGCGAGCCAGGACGCTTGGCCACTGCTTGACTCCGACCGCCCTCGACGAGGCAGCCTGCGGCTCGCCCGGCCCACCGCCGGCCTCCACCCGGGGGCGCGCCGACCTCCGCTCCGGCCCGGCCTCCCCCGGCCGCCTGGCCTCCGCCCGGGCCATGTGCTCCGCGGCGACGGCTCCGGCGCCCGCGGGGCGCGCCGTGCCGCCCCGCGGCGACGTCCGCGCGCCCTCGCGGTCGACCGCTCTGGCCGAGCGCTGCGGCGGCCCGGCGAGGACGCGCGGGCCGTCTGCCACAGCGTCGCCCGGCCCGCACCTGCGGCCGGGGTCCCTCGCGCGGGCCCGCGAGCGCGTCGAGGGAGGGTCGCTCCAGGCACTGGTGCCGCGGGCGAGCACCAGCGCTTCTTGCGCCAGGAGCTCCCTGCTCTCGGAGCCCTCGGCCTCTGGGAAGCAGAGCCAGGACCCCGGCTTCACACGGAGGGAGCCCTCGACCTCGCGCGCCAGGCTGGCAACCTGCGGGTCTGAGCGCAGCTCGTAGACCGCGCCGAACATGAGGCAAAAGCCGGCCCGGTCTCCCGAGATGCCAACGCTCTCAAGAGCCTTCCCGCACTCCGCAACGAACAGAAAGCCCTTGATCTTCTTGATCGTGGGCTCGTCGCGCCTGAAGGGGCCCAGGGACACAAACAAATAGGCGCAGATCCCAGGATTCCACATATCTTCCATGTTGTCTCGATGTCCGTCTTCCCCTCCACTTCCTATCTGTTCCAGATTTCCTGTGGAATCGACGACTGTTTGTGTCTGTGTGGCTGCTTTCCCTCCTGAGTGCCTGCTGCGGTGAGCGGCGTCCACCTGTCTCTGGAAGTCGGCCCCGCTGCAGATCCTGGCGAGCTCTTGCATGAGGTGCTGGGCCCTCTCGGGCGGCGCGCAGAGAAGGGGTCCTGGGGAGGGGGGAAGGCTCCTTAGATGGAGGTCGCTTCTTAGAAGGCGCCCTCTGAGAAGCAGCCTCCTCCTTCGAGGGCGTCCCCTCTCCCCCCCTTCAAGCCCCCCTCTGCGCATGGCCGACCTCTGGAGAGGCAGCACCGCCACGGCCGGCGGCCGTGCGGCCGCGAGGTCTGGGCCCAGGAAGAGGAGCCTGCGCCGCCTGCCCAGGGGCTCGCCGTCCCGGTAGGACACGAACGCCCGCCCCGTGGGCCGCACCAGCCTCCCGGCCTCGACCACGTCGCTGCGCCCGAGCTGGCACGCGACGGCCTGCCGCACGTCGCGCATGGTTGACGTGGCCGCCACGGCGATGCAGATCTCAGTCTTGTTCAGGGCGTGCCTCACCAGCACCCGCACCGTCGAGCCTCGCATGCACACCGCTGCAGCTGCGTTTGTTGCCGGTGCCGCCTCGTACTCCCCTTCGCCAGAGAAGAGCGTGCCGCTTGGCCAAGAGAAGATCCTCTCCACGCTGGCCAGCGCATAGTGAACGACAGCGTCGTCCCGATACCGTGCGAGGGCTGCACACATCTGCTGGTAGCCTGCGACGTCCCAGTCGAATCCGAACTCAACCATCACGTCGGCAGTCGCACCCCACCACACCTGCCTCTTCAACTCCTCTCAAGCCCGACGACAGGGGAACCGGAGGGTAGGCAAGGGGGGGCCAGCGGATCGGATCACGCAGCTGGCTCTCCCGGCGGCCCCCGCCGCTGGAGGAGCCAGTGTATCCAGCAAGGCGCCAGACGGCAAGGCCGACACCAGCTGCATGCAGGCGAGCTCGCCCCCCGCCCCCTCCTCCCGTGCCCCCCCCCCGTCGCCCGACCCGATCCTCGGGATCCAGCTCCCCGTGGCGGCCCAGCCCGTGCCAGGAGCGCAGCGCCCTCGGCAGCGGCGCGCGCCGCGCGCTGGCCGGGGCCGCGGTGCCCCCGAGCTCGTCCGCGGCGGTGGCCTGCCGCAGCTGCGCCAGCACCTCGGGCCGACGGCACCTGCCGTGGAGGGCCTTCGCCAGCCCCCTCGCCCCGGGGAGCCCCAGCTCCGCGGCGCCCGCCCGCCGCGCGAGCCCGAACCACGAGCCCAGCGGCACCCACAGCAGGTACTCGAGGCCAGAGGAGCAAAAAACGGCAGGAGCGTCGGCTCTCCGAGCTCCGCGCGGAGTTCTTGGATCGGCAGTGGGACCCCCTCGCGGCGCCGCCCCTGGCGCGCTCCGCGCGCCAGGGATTGTGAGGGGGGTCAGCGCAGATCAAATAAGTCCGCGCGGAGCTCCGAAACATCATGCGTATGCTGTTGTTTATTCTTCGATCTGCGCGCTGTCTCGCGGACGACCGTGGGATCGGAGCCCAGCAGGCGGACGGCACGGAACATCTGGCCGAAGCCCTGCCCGTCGTCTGGGAAGCCGGCCCCGATCACGTGCGGCCTGCAGGCCTCGGCGAACAGGAAGCCGATGCCCCTGGTGTTGAAGCGGTCGCCCCTCTGCTGCCGGAAGAGCTGCATCAGCTGGCCCTGGAACTCGGGGTCCTCGCAAGTCGCGCGCATCCTCCCGAGCAGCTCGTGAGCGCGCTCCAGCGTGAGCCCACCCTGCTCCCGGGGCAGCGCGGAGCCCAAGCTCGCTTCCCCTTTCGCGGCGAGGCGTCAACCAGCCGCCTCACCGATCCTCGCCAGGGGCCCGATCCTGGGCGCCTCAGGAGCGGCGTTTTTCGTTCGCCCTCCAGGCCTGGCCCGGGAGGCCCCTGCGCTCACCGATCATGGGACTGGCAAGGGACTGGTGAGGAGGTCAGCTGACCCAGGCATCCTGCGTCCCGATTGTTTCGAGGCACGGGCCCCCGACCTCCGACCACCTCCCCGAGACCAGCTTTTGATCCCGAGCCGCTGTGTGACGGCCCCGAGGCTCGAAGAGGCCCCCGAGAGGCCGAAAACGGTGAAAAACGGCAGCCTCGATGTTTTCGAAACGCCGAATGCCTGTTCACGCCAGAGTAATGGGAGTAGCACAGATGGTGGGGCTGGAGTAGGTGTACATTAGTATTTGCAGTAGTTTTTTGCTGTATGGATGCAATACTTAGCGGTCTGGACGCCATAGTCGCGCGTGGATGCAACCGCGTCTTCTTTCAAAAGCCCCTTGCAATAGTTCGTGCCCCCTACCGGCAGCTGTCCGCGCAAGCGATCGCGCAATCGCTCGCGCAAGCGAACTGCTGTACCTCCCGCCGCACCCCCCTGGGCGCTGCCCCCATCGCTCTAGTCCAGAATCTGGCCCAAGCGTGGACTCCCAGAAATCTCGACCCATTCGCAGGGATCGGTTTTTCATCCTGAGCCGTGAGTTGACGGTCCCGAGGCCCAGTGAGGGCCCCCGCAGGCTAAAAAATTCAAAACAACTGTTCCGTCGTGTCTTTTTCATGACTCGAAGGGGTCTGGAATTGGCGGGGCCCCCATCTCAGGCAAACGCTAACAGAGATTAGTGATCCGTGGATCTGCGACGCGGGCGCTGGGGGGACATAATCAAAATGACTAGTCGATCGACACATCTGCCCCATGGCGGAGTGCCACAAAGGGGTCGTCCGATTCCGGATGGGCTGTAATTGCATTGCGGCTGGTTGCGATCGGCGCAAGGTGGTTTGCAGCTTGCGGGGGGCATTTCCAATCCCTGCTGCGACCGCGGCCACGCACCGCCTGCGCGCGCCCGCAGAACCGCGCCATCTTGCGGTGGTGGCTTTCGTGGGCGAGGCCACCGGCACTGCGCGACTCCACCGTTGCGCTTTCGGCCGCCGTCTGGGAAGACAGGGCCGTGAATCGATGGATTGAGTGAAACGGGCCCAAGGGGGCCTGCATCCATGGATAAGCGGAACGGACCACGGCCCCCATCCAGCGCACCTCCATCATTTTTGTTTGGTCCCCGGGGCCGCTCGGCTAATCCATGTTGTCCTTTGCCCCTTATTTGCAGCCCTTCGCACATGCAACACGAATCCGCGACGGACGACGACGACGAGAGTGATGTGCCGAGTGCGATCGACACACCTGTGCCCTGGTGGCTCGGAGGCTAACGCGCATGGTTGGGCGGGTGGGTCAGGGCACGGAGGCGGGGGAGGGGGGGCGGGGCAAGGGGCCCGCGTGCCTTGGTGGGCATCCGAGGCCTTGCCAGAACCTCCCAGCCAACACTGCGGCCACGCGGCCCCCACTAGGCTGGTTTCTTGGCGGCCATTCACAGAATCAGCGAGCATACCCGCGGGGCGCAAGCAGCGTGGTGAAACTGCCCGCAGTCGGTGAAACATTCCGAGTCCGCTCCGTTGTCAAGACCGATGCACGCGACTTTGCGTTGTAAAACTGAAGTGCCCGACGTGCGCACGTACAAACAAGTTCTTGGACACGTCGCTAACCTGCTTGCCTTAATCCATGCGTCAGTTTCCCTAACCCCACACCCCCGACGACGTCACCTTTTCATCTCGTTGACCCCCACAGGTCTCGACCCGCTCCCCAGGACCTGCTTTTCATCCTCAGTCGTTTTCTTGACGGCCCCGAAGCCCCGGTGAGGGCCCTCAGAGGCCGAAGATGGCGAAAAACCTCCCGCCGTGATGCTTCCATGACTCGAAGAGGGTCTGGGACCATCGTTCCAATCTGGAGCCCGAGGACGTCCCCCGACCTTCCGCCCCGGCTCTGGGCGGCAGCCTCCGCCGCTTGCCGAGGGCACCCCCCGCGGCGCACTGGCCGCGGGCGCCACCGCTGTCCCGAGGGCCCTCGGCGGAGCCCCCGCGCGCCGGGCTCCCGCTGCGCGCCAGGTCGGGGCCCAGGGCCAGCAGGCGGGTCCGGCCGCCGAGCGGCTCCCCGTCCTCTCGAGAAGGGACCGACCGCAGGCCCCCCCCTCGGCCACGGAACAAGAATCACGGCAGGAAGTGTTTCGCACTGGAGCGGCGGCGGCAAGAGGCGGGCCTCACGCGAGACGACACAGCGACCTTACGCGGTGGCTCACGCGGGCCGCCAGCGCGGCACGCTACGCTGAAAACGCGGACACTCACGCGCGACCTTCCGCGGGCAGCCTCATCTTCCTCCTCCTCCTCCTCCTCCTCCTCCTCCTCCTCCTCCTCCTCCTCCTCCTCCTCCTCCTCCTCCCCAGGCCCCCACGACGGGAGGTTTCTCCCAATTTTCGGCTCCGGGGGAGCCCTTTGCGGGCCTGGGGAGCGTAACCAAAACGGCTCGGGATGAAGAACCGGTCCCGGGGAATGGGTCGAGACCTCTGTGGGTCGACGTTCTGAGCAAATCATGTCGTCGGGGGTCCGGGGAGCAGGGACGGACCACCCGGCATTCCTGCAGGCTGCAGGCCTACCGCAGAGTCTTCTTGAAACGGAAGAATGTACTCGCTACGAACAGGATGCTCTCAGAACACAAGGACCCATGTGCGCAACAGTGCAAGGCGCTCTCGGCCAGAACCGCCCCAAGAACCGCGCAAACCGAGAGCGGTTCTCGGAACATTCCTTGATGGGCCTGGTCGATGAAGTCAGGATGCTTCAGCCCTGCTTGGTCCTCGTAGGCGACCATCGCGGCTCCTCGGTGGGCCCTGATCGGCGGAGCGCACGAGGGGGGGGCGCGAGGGTGGTCGGCGTCTGAGAGCGCGGGGGGGGGCTCTTGGAATGCGAGGGCGGCTTCTCAGGAGAGCCCGGGGGCCTTCAAGAAGCCTGCCCGGAAGCGCAGGAGGGCCCAGTAGCCTCGGAGAGAGGGCCCCCAGAGGACTCCCAGCGCGCCCCTTGCCCTCTCGGCGCGCCCCCCCACCCCCACCCCCTTCTCTGACTACCTACCAAGCCACCCCAACCCAATCCGAAGTGACCGCTGGGGTCGTCAAAATCTCTGGTGTGGGGGGGGCGCTCCAGCACAGTTGGAAAACACGGCGGACCCCGCACATCCCCCCACCAGAACTTCGGGTTAGTCTGGGCCATTCGGGTTGGGTTGGGTTGGGGTGGTTTGGTAAGTAGTGGTTCTCGGAAGGCCACCGCCATCCCTCGCGCCAACCCCCTGGATCCCAGACACCCGAAGTCATGATTTTTTCATGGCGTCGACCCCCAAAGATCTCGACCCACTCCCCGGGACCGGCTTTTCATCCCAACTTGTTTTGACGGCCCCGAGGCCCCGGTAAGGGCCCCCCCAGGGGCCGAAAATGGCGAAAAGCCTCCCGTCGTGATGTTTCCATGACTCAAAGTGATTTGGGATTGGCGCACGCCGCCGGCCTGACAAGCCGCGTGCTGCGGAGGATCTCGGCGCGGCCCAGCTGCTGGGCGAGCGCCCCCTTGACCTCCAGCATCGTCGCCGCACCAGGGACGTGCACCACCGCCTCGGCACCCGAGAGCGCGTGCCTCACCCGTACCTCTCGGGCCGACAAGGGGGGGAAGGGGCCCAAAGACACACAAATATCTAGACACACATCCAAGGATTTCCGATAATTTCTCTATGTCCAGGATGTTCGTCTTCCCCTCCACTTCCCACATTTTCTATATGTTCCGGGCAATCGACGATTGTGTGTGTGTGTGCGTGTGTGTGTGTGCTTGTGTTTGTGTCTGTGATTGTGTTTGTGTTTGTGATTGTGTTTTTTGTGTGCGTGCGTGCGTGCGTGTGCGTGTGTGTGTGTCTGCGTGTGCGTATGAGTGTGCGTGTGCGCTCACCCTCACACACGCACACGCACATGCACACGCACACGCACACGCAAACGCACACGCACATGCACACGCACATGCACACGCACACGCACACGCACACGCACACGCACACGCACACGCAAACGCACACGCACATGCACACGCACACGCACACGCACACGAACACGCACACGCACACGCGCACGCACACGCACACGCACGCACGCACGCACACACGCACACACGCACACAACGCACACATGCACACACGCACACACGCACGCACGCACACACGGACACGCACACACGCACACACGCACACACGCACACACGCACACGCACACACGCACACACGGACACATGCACCCACGCGCACACGCGCACACGCACACGCACACGTGTGTGCGTGTGTGCGTGCGTGTGAGCGTGTGTGCGTGTGTGTGTGCGTGTGTGCGTGCGTGTGAACGTGTGTGCGTGTGTGCGTGTGTGCGTACGTGTAACTATGTATATGTGTTGTGTGTGTGTGTCTTGTGTGTGTTGTGTGCGTTGTGTGTGTGTGTGTTTGCGTGCGTGCGTGCGTGTGTGTGCGTGTGTGTGTGTGTGTGAGTGTGTGAGTGTGTGAGTGTGTGAGTGTGTGAGTGTGTGAGTGTGTGAGTGTGTGAGTGTGTGTATGTGTATGTGTATGTGTATGTGTATGTGTATGTGTATGTGTATGTGTATGTGTATGTGTATGTGTATGTGTATGTGTATGTGTATGTGTATGTATGTGTATGTGTATGTGTATGTGTATGTGTATGTGTATGTGTATGTGTATGTGTATGTGTATGTGTATGTGTATGTGTATGTGTATGTGTATGTGTATGTGTGTGTGTGTGTGTGTGTGTGTGTGTGTGTGTGTGTGTGTGTGTGTGTGTGTGTGTGTGTGTGTGTGTGTGTGTGTGTGTGGTGTGTGTGTGTGTGTGTGTGTTGTGTGTGTGTGTGGTGTGTGTGTGTGTGTGTGTGTGTGTGTGTGTGTGTGTGTGTGTGTGTGTGTGTGTGTGTGGTGTGTGTGTGTGTGTGTGTGTGTGTGTGTGTGTGTGTGTGTGTGTGTGTGTGTGTGTGTGTGTGTGTGTGTGTGTGTGTGTGTGTGTGTGTGTGTTGTGTGTGTGTGTGTGTGTGTGTGTGTGTGTGTGTGTGTGTGTGTGTGTGTGTGTGTGTGTGTGTGTGTGTGTGTGTGTGTGTGTGTGTGTGTGTGTGTTGTGTGTGTGTGTGTGTGTGTGTTTGTGTGTGTGTGTGTGTGGTGTGCGTGTCCTTGCGTGCGTGCGGGTGTGCGTGCGTGCGTGGGTGTGTGTGTGTGTGTGTGTGTGTGGGGGGTGTTTGTGTGTTTGTGTGCTTGTGTGTGTGCGTGCGCGCGTGCGTGTGTGTGTGTGTGTGTGTGCGTGTGTGTGTGTGTGCGTGTGTGCGTGCATGTGTGTGTGTGTGTGCGTGTGTGTGTGCGTGTGTGGGTGTGTGAGCGTGTGTGTGTGGTTATGTGTGTTTTGCTCCCTCCTGTAAAAAGCGAAAAGGGATCAGTGTTATAGATGCTTGCGTTAGCATGTCCAGAAGTCGCGCCCGAAACAGATGACCAGGAATTGATCACTGGAGAAGTGCACTGCAATATAAAGAATCCATCAAGCCGCAGGACCAACGACCGACAGACCTGCACTGGCTGACCCAAGTCAAAGCTGCAAGAGCCCGCGACTGTTCAACCGGGGGGGCACGTGATTTGCTTTATTCCATCATCGAAAGCAAAGAAACAGCCTAACCCGAATAACACGATGAAGACGTGGCCTCACTGAGGTCCTCGTCTTCGCATTAGGGATCATAATTCTAGGCGGTTTGGTTCGATACACCTGCAGAAAAGATCCCCTATCCCTCATGTTTTGGACCTCCTAATTTAAGTAACCTCCCAAAGGGTTAGTGGCAATTTCTTGTTAATCTGTCCATACAGACGAACTCCACAATGCACGTCCTCAGCTGTCATGTGATTAAAAGAGCCGCAAGGCGAACCGGGTGCAACCCAAGAGCCGACCTGCGACAAGGAAACTCACGAGGTGAATCGTGGCCTCCGAGAGAGCGAGCGCGTGTCCCAGACACCCTGGAGTCGTGGCAAAATCGCGACAATGATTTTTGATTCGCTATTTCCGACGTACGTCTGGGGGTCCTCCCTCGACAGGCCTCGGAACTGTCAAAAGATGACTCATCGGGGATATACTGACCCGGGTCAACCCAAACCCAAGTCTGCATGATCCTGCAAGATCCTGCAGGATCCTGCTCCCAAGCCCGGGTCAGTGCACCCCTGGCCTTGCAGGATCCTGCAAGATCCGGCGATCTGGCTGCCCCCCGTTTGCATCGACCCCCGTCTCTTGAGCAACGAACTCAGGATGAAAAACTGATCCTGGAGAATGGGTCGAGACCTCTGCTGGCCGACGTGATGAAACAATCATGACGTCGGGAGTCTGGGGTAGTCAGGGGTGCGGCGCAGGAATCGGCTCACGCAGCTGGTTTTCTCAGCGCCTTTTGGCGCCAGAGGCACCCACGTATCGAGGAAGGCGCAGGCGGCGGGGCCGAGAGAAGCTGGTCGGGAACTGTCGCTTAGCGCGTCGCCCTGGCGGCCCCGGCAACACGCTGGGCCCTGCAAGCGCGCTCCCGCCGTGAGTTGTTCATGAGTCGAGGGGGTCTGGGTTCCCTGTGGCCCACACCTCTTCCGACGCAACCTTGGGTCGGGCATGTCCTCCTACAGGCGGATCTGGAACATCAAAAAATGGTCGAACCATATTCAAAAATGGTCAACAGTAGTCACCGACCGTCCCGGCATTCCTGTAGGCCTACCAAGACATGTTCTTAGAAACAAAAAATACTCTCATAACAAAAACAATGTTCTTAAAACATGAGCCTCATGTGTTAAAAAATGACGGTCCCAGCCAGAAATGTTCCAAGAACACTTCGTGCAGACCACGACAGGCTCTCAGAACATTGCTTGGTAGGCCTATAGGCACGCCAGGACGCTTCGCCACTGCTTGAGTAGAGGGGCGGAGGAGGAGGAGGAGGCGGAGGAGGAGGCGGAGGAGGCGGAGGCGGAGGAGGCAGGGGAGGAGGAGGCAGGAGGAGGAGGAGGCGGAGGAGGACGAGGAGGAGGAGGAGGAGGACGAGGAGGAGGCAGAGGAGGAGGAGGCAGAGGAGGAGGAGGAGGCGGAGGAGGACGAGGCGGAGGAGGCGGGGGAGGAGGAGGCAGGAGGAGGCGGAGGAGGAGGAGGCGGAGGAGGACGAGGAGGAGGAGGAGGAGGAGGAGGAGGAGGAGGAGGCATTCTCGAAGAGGTTTTCCTCCGCGCGTTTGCGGGTAGGCACTCTGCGGGTCGCGGAGCGCGCTCGGCGACGGGCCTCCGCCTCCGCGGCGCCCGCCGCGGCGGGGCCCTCGGCCCTCGCCGGTGCGGCGCCGCCCGAGAACCAGGCGCCCAGCAGGGACCTCACGCCACGCGTATACACATAGACACACAGACACCTCGAAGTAGGTCACCAGTATATGCGCAGACACCCAACATATAGGCACAGACACCTGTACAAATACATATATATATATATATATATGTGTGTGTATATGTACAAGTATGTAGGGTATACATCTAATTATAAACAAATAGACACGCCCAGTAAGGACCTCACGCCACGAGACAGATCTGCGCCAAGCAAAATGTACCTTCAGAGAGGGGACGGTGTTTAAAGTCGCTGGCTCTCAGTGGTGACTTCTACACCGCCACCCTCCCCTGAGGCCCAGGAACAATCCAGTGGAGGGCGTCTGTGTATTTTTGGGGGGCGGAGACCTGAGCAGCCGCACGTCGACGCCCCTGGCAGCAGCGGCGATCGGCTCCTCGCGCAGGTGCTCCTGGAGCGACTGCCGCATCCTCCGGACGCCCGCAGGGTCGGCACCGAAGCCGAAGGCCCAGGCGACGCCGCGGAGCTGGGCGTGGAGCACATGGAACGCCTCGCCGCGGGTTGCATCGGCCGGCCTCCCTGGGCTGCGCGCCTTCTTCAGAGGCCTCCTAGATGGGGTCGGAGTAGATGGGGTCGGAGGATCGCGCCGCATCGCCGATACATCGGGGATGCATCGGCGATGCATCGCCGATGCATCGGTGATGCACCGACGATACATCAGCGATGCACCGACGATGCATCGTCGACGTCGGCGGTGCATCGGCGACGTCGACGTGAAGCAAATCGGGCTGCACGTCGAGCCGCGTGGGCGATGCATCGGCGATGCGGCGGCGACGCGGCGGCCCCCTCTGGGAGGCCTCGACTGGCCATCGCTCGGACGTCCATTTCCTGTGTTTTTTTCGGTTTTGTGCGTGGTTTTTTCGCCAAATGATCAAGGATGCTCCTCGATGGTCCTCGCCGAGAAAAAAATTCTCGATCTCTGCCCTCGCTCGAAAAAAGAAATCCGAGCGATGCCAGGTCGATTCTTGGCGTGAAGCAGAGGGCCTCCGGAGGGAGACGGGTTCCGGAGCGAGGCGTGCTCGGACGGTCCGAGGGGGCCCGTGGAGCCCGGCCTCGGCGCGAGAAGTCTCGGGGAGCGGAGGCGGCCGCGGGGCGGCCCGAGCAGGCTGGGGCCCGGGGAGGGGGGGCCAAGTGCGCGCAAGACGTGGCGCTGGACCCCTCCCATAGGTCCCTCTCGTGCTCTGGGCTTCTTTGAAGGGGCCCCAGGACACACAAATAAATACACACAAATAAAAATATTCCCCATATTTTCCCATATTTTCTGGGTTCTTGTCTTCCCCCCCACTTCCCACATAACGCCACATCTTCCCATGGTCCCTCTGGGGCTTTGACCTGTCTACATAACGGGTCGCGTCGCTCACGTTGGCAAGCTTTGATTGGCGATACTTGATCGCGGCACTGCATATTCCTCTACATATCGATCGGCTTGCTGACTTCGAGTGTGTCGGACCGGACCGGACCTCTGGTGCTCTGGGCTTCTTGACAAGCGTGGGGGGGGTACCCCCTCGACGGGGGCCAACCTCGCCTCGTCGTCGCGCCGCGACGGGGGTCGGAGCGCCTTCGGCGCGCGGCGGCTGCCTGCGACAGGGGGTCGATGTGGGGCTGTCGGCGGGGATGGCGCCCCCCCGACGCCAATTAAGAACCTCGGAGTACAGCTTCTTAGGAGAACAGTTATCGTGTTGGGCGGAATGGGTTGGGAGGATGAAGGGCATGAGGAATAGCACTCGGATGCGATCCACGATACCTTCGGCCGCCTGCGGGCAATGATATCCCCGTCTCTCCCAACCCCACCCTCCCGACCCGACAACTGAGTCTCTCACCTCGGACCCATGTGTTTCCCGGTCCCTGGGCCCGAAAACGGCCCGCGGAAGCCGAGAAGGGCAACGAAAACCTCGCCGAGCCCAGAGCCTCAAGCCTGTTCGCCCTTCCTGCGGGCCGGAAGGAGTGTCGGGGAGGCGCAAGGCTCAGGTGCGGAGTACTCGGGTTGGCCTGATGGGGCCGTCGTAAAAACGACGAGAACCAATCCGAAATTTGACGCGAGCTCCCGCTGCAGACATCCCACGAAAACTGGACCGTTCGAATCCGGGACGCGCTCGTCAAGGACATACTCGAGTCTTACGTCTCCCCGACAATGCTGGGGTGCTGGGCCACCTCAGACCCCCAGACGGCTCCGACCTCAGGCCCCGTTTCCCTCAGGATCCGCTCGCTTCATGGCGACCTCCAGCGACCTCACCTCCTCCTGTTTGGACGACCGAAATGGGTATGAGAAAAATGGGTGCGATGCCCAAACACACACACACACACACACACAGACATTCACACACACACACACACACACACACACACACACACACACACACACACACACACACACAAACACACACACACACACACACACACACACACATTGTCCAAAACCGAAAGCGGCCACTGTCGGGCAGGCGGCTTGATGTCTCGAATGGAAAACGTCCACGGCGGCGCGGACAGCGAGCCCTGATCAAAGCGAACAGGAACTGTTATTGGACTTGTTGTGCCCGTCCTGTCTGTACCTGAGGGGCAACGATAGGGGGGGGGACTGGCACAGGGGGGGGAACATCGACCTGGACTCGGCGATACATCGCCGATAGATCGGCGATAGGCCTCCGATAGTGTATCCGCACCTTCCTGGGCAGGTTGGGGCTATCGGGCCCCTATCGGCGATCACAATGGGCGATTGGGGGTCGATGCATCCCCCCCTATGCCTACCCTGGGTTTCTTGATAAGCGTGGTGGGGTACCCCCTCACGGGGGTCGACTTCGCATCGTCGTCGCGCCGTGACGGGGTTCGGAACACCTTCGGCGCGCGGTGGCTGCCCGCGAGGGGGGTCGACTTGGGGCTGCCGTCGGGGGTGACGCCCCCCGACGCTTAGTAAGAAACTCGGAGTAGGAGGACAAACTGGAAGAGGAGGAGGACGAGGAGGAGGGAGGAGGGAGGAGGGAGGAGGGAGGAGAGAGGAGGAGGGAGGAGGACGAGGAGGAGGAGGAGGACAAACTGGAAGAGGAGGAGGAGGAGGGACGAGGGGAGGAGGAGGGAGGAGGAGGGAGGGAGGAGGGAGGAGGGGAGGAGGGAGGAGGGAGGGAGGGAGGGAGGGAGGAGGAGGAGGAGGAGGAGGAGGAGGAGGAGGAGGAGGAGGAGGAGGAGAGGAGGAGGAGGAGGAGGAGGAGGACAAACTGGAAGAGGAGGAGGAGGAGGACGAGGAGGAGGAGGGAGGAGGGAGGAGGGAAGAGGGAGAGGAGGAGGAGGAGGAGGGAGGAGGAGGAGGAGGAGGGAGGAGGGAGGAGGAGGAGGAGGAGGAGGGAGGGGAGGAGGGAGGAGGGAGGAGGGAGGGAGGGAGGAGGGAGGAGGGAGGAGGGAGGGAGGGAGGGAAGGGCAGAGAGGGAGGGAGGGAGGGAGGGAGGGAGGGGGGGAGGAAGATGAGGAGGAGGAGGAGGAGGAGGAGGAGGAGGAGGAGGAGGAGGAAGAGGAGGACAAACTGGAAGAGGAGGAGTGAACGTACCTTGAGGCGAACTCGTCTGTCAGCCCCGCGCACGCCTGACCAGAGAGAGGCGGCGCGTGAGAAACGGCGGACAGCGGCTCAGCGCCACAGGAGAGATTTCGCTGCGGCCACCGCTTCAGCAATATTTGCTGGCGACGGCGCTGCGCACTGCTTCATTTTGTTGTAAATGTGAAAAGCCAGCGCGATCCTGCGAATCGTCTGCCGCAACGAGAGGTCGCTGGCAGGCTCGGAAGGGTACGCGGTTGCGGGGCCCAAGCCCCAGGTCGTATATGCGCTGAGGAGAGGAGCAGAGCCGGGGGACCAGAGGAGGCTCAGGAGGACAGGGCAGGAGAGGTAGTGGGGAAATGAATCGGGTGCGTTCGGGCACCCGAGCACGCACGGGCGCGGGGCGAGCACATGCATGCGGTGGGTGGTGGTCCACCCGCCACTGAGCGATTTGAAAACCGCCCAGCGCCAGCTGGGGCGGACCTCTCCGAGCGCTTTTGTGGAAGCGGACCAGCGGCTGGAAAGCTCTGGGGGAGGCGGTGGCTGCTGAAGTCCCCAGGCTTCGATGCGCTTCGTGAGAGTGACAGTGAACGGCGATGAGAAAAAAAGGCACGCTGCAGAGCGAGCGCGACCACCCTCTGCACCTTCGGGCGACGCGGCGGCTCCGCAGCAGGTGCCTCGCGAATTTCGGCTCGTGCAGCGCGGTTCGCCAGGGCCACGGCTGCTGCTGAAAAGGGCGGGACGCGCTGCCCGCAAGACAGGGCGTGGTAGAACTGCACGATGGACGAGGTCTCTTCCCAGAAGGGGGGGGACCAGCGCCCTGCTTCCCACCGATGGAAGGAATGGACCGTGCTCTCCTCCCAGGCGGTGTCTCGCAGACGGTGGAAGAAAGGTTCCCATTCTCCGCGGAGTGTGAAAGTAGCTGAACGGATGGCGGCGGCGGCAGATGTGACTTGAGCTGAGCGGGGGACAGGTGGCGGGCTCCATTCCGCCATCGAAATGAGATCTACCTTCCGATAAGAGTCGGGCGGCATGCTGAGCATTTTGCGGGAGACGTAAAGTTCGCGGCGAGCAATCTTAGAATCGAGCGGAAAGAACAGAGCAACGTAGCAGAGCGTGGACAAGACGGAAGTGTTATATAAGCGAACGGTGGCATCACTGCCAGACTGGACGAGGTTGAGCAAATTGCCGCGCTGCCACCACTTTTGCCCTGGGGCGAGCCATTGAAGGGCGAGGGGGGCGGAGGGTCCGAGGAAGGTCACGAGGTACTCGGCTCGCCCCGAAATCGTGAAACCACCCCAGGAAGGACAGAGGTCGGCCAGGAGCGCTTTCGTTTGGGCAGTGGTGGCAGGAGAGACAGGCGCCCACAGGGGCACGACTCCACACTTGCGAGGTTTGAGGGAGAGAAGCGCGAGCTCCTCTGCTGCAGAAAAGGGCTCGGATGCCTTGCGCAGCGTGTCGAACGAGAATGTGAGCAGGCCAGTGTCGTCCGCGCAGACGCCGAGGTAGCCTTTGTCGTAGTCGGGCGCGCCGTCGGGGTGCTCGATGAAGGAGGCGACGTGGCGGACGAGCGGGTCCATCGCGATGGCCCATGCCGAGCCACTGGCGGGGCAGCCCTGCGCGACGCCCGACCCGATGGCGAACATGAAGTGGCGGACCCCGTCGACCTTGAGGAAGCTGTTCGGCGCGTGGTACAGGTTGCGAAAGAGGCTCATGAGGCCGATGGGGACCCCGAAGCGCTCGAGTGCCGCAAAGAGCCAGGCCCGTCCCAGAGACGGGAACGCCGCCGCGAAGTCGAAGCTGGTGAAGACAGGGTGGTGGTCAGCAGCATCAGGACGTATCCCAGCGCGGCGCATTTCGGCGTCAAGAATGACGATGTGCTTGGTGAAGTTGCGGCCGACTACGAAACCCTGCTGCGCCTTGTGGGTCCGCTCTGCCACGGCGGATTTGAGGAGGAAGTTGGCGGCGCCTGCGATGGCCTTGATATCAGTATTATTGAGCGAGAGCGGGCGCGTGTCCTCAGGCGCCCTGTCGGCCTGCAGCTCGCCGACGAGGTTGTCCCCTTTCGGCAGGAAGGCGAAGTCAGAATCGACCAGGTCGTGAATGAAGTGCGCGTTCGAGCAGAGGTGGAACGAGAGGTCCTCGAGCAGGTCCAGCGACGAGTCGCGCGCGAGCCATGCGCGATACGGCAGGCAGTCAGGTCCTGGAGCCGACGGCGAGGTGCGAGCCAGGAAGGCGCGGATCTGACTCTTGGTCGGCGCGCCCGCGTCGATGGCGGCGCCCAGCGGCATGTGCTCGGAGATGCACTGCGTGACCTTGCCGGAATCGACGAGCTTGTGCGCGGAGACGGGCTTCCAGTAGGTGCGCAGAGCGTCCGCCATACCGCGGCTCTCTCTGGCGACCCCAGGGGGGCCTGCAGGGCCCGAGATTTTGATTCCCTGGAGGACCAGACGACGCTTCCATGGGGCCCAAAGGAGAGCCCGCCTCTGCGAGGCGCGCAGGATTTGACGGAGTTTCTCGGGCTCGAGGGCCCCTGCCGCGCCAGGGGGGCGCTGGGCAGCTCTTTGCGCCAGAGAGCGTTGCCGAGCCTCGAAGTCGCGGTGCAGCGCGGCTGACTTGGCAGCGAACTCGGGCTGGTTGATGATCGCGATGAGGCCGTCGATAATCGAGAGGTACTTGGCTCCGAGCTCGGTGGTAGACTGGAGACGACGAGCGAGAGCCACTTCCTGGCGCCAGACCGCGCGTGAGATCGAGCGCGCCGTGATCACCCGGCCGTCGGCGAGGTTGGATTTGTTGCCGATCCCGGTGGAGCTGACCCAGTCGTCGCGGACGAGCCTCGCAGCCTCGACCATGAGGCGCTTGTGCGTGCGCCAGCGGTTCTGGATGGGGACGTGCTCTGTCTTGGTGTGGGTGATCAGCTGGTCCAGGTACTTGGCGTTGTTCGGGTCGCGGAAGATCGCTGGTGCGATCGCCTGGTCGTCCGACGGCGTGCGCGGCTTGATGCCGATGGTGTAGGAGATGATCGCGTGGTCGCTGAGGAAGGAGTCGGACAGGATGGCAGGGTCGTGCACGATGCTGACCCGCGAAGTGAGCTCGAGCATGGCATGGGACGGCAGGCTGATGAAAACGTGGTCGATCGCTGTGGCGGAGAAGTCAGACCTGTTGAAGCGGGCCGGCAGGTCGGATTCGATTTCGAGCATGGTGTCGAAGAGTGCTTTCCAGAATGGCTGCTGCTGGCGGGCGCTGTTGTCCAGCGCAAGGCGTGCGTGCTGAGGCTGAGGCTGCAGGAAGCTGTTCGGCGGGCGGCTGGCGGTATTGAAGTCCCCGATGGCGATGAAGGTGCGGTGCTGGTAGTCGGCCTCGGCCCAAGTGCGATGCTGATGCCAAACACGTTGCACTCGGTCGCGGCCACGGGCGTCGATCTCGTGGTTATGGACGCCCATGATGACGATGGAGTTGTTCGTGACAGCATTGGTGACGGCATCGGTCAGGATGCGGCCCTTGACGACCTCCTCGTGGTCGAAGGTCGGCAGTTGGTGTGGAGCGAGCTGCTCGAGCTGCATGGGCGTGAGCCAGGGCACCAACGTAGCAACACCGCCAGTGCCAGGGCGGGCCTCGTCGTCATCGCTGCCGACGAACTCGGAGAAGAAGAGCTTGTACGGGCACGGCTGCGTGTCCACCCACGTGCGGAGCAGGGCCTCCGAGCCGTGGACCTCCTGGAGGAGGATGACGCAGTGGCGGCGCATGTACTTGGTCAAGGCAGCTTGCTTGCGGCGGCGGCGCTTGCGCTTGTGGCACATAAGGGCTCTGGCGTTCCACGTGATGAAGGTGCTGGGGACGGGGTCCTCGGTCGATCGCCACGGCGACCAGGGGTGGCTAAACCCGCCACGTGGCTGACGCAGTGTCCGCGAAGAGCGCCTGGAACGCGGCGAGGACGCCACCGCGATCCACTTCGTTGAAGTAGTGGCCTTCGAACGCGTGCTCGTTCCATTCGAGGATGGCGGGGTCGGCCTGGCCCTTGACGTCGAGGCGGACAACGGGCATGGCACTGCAGTGGATCTCGCCCTTGGTGCGGATGGCCCTCCAAGACTTGTCGGGGTAGCGGTGCTGGAGCAGTTGCAGCAGCTTCTTGCACTGGATCTCGGTGCGGATCTGCTTTGGGGACTTGTCGGGGTTGAGGTAGATATCCACTCGGGCGCCTGTCGTGTCGGTGGACTCGAAGCGTTCCCACCTGCCAGCAGGATCTCGAAGGGCGCGTGATAGAGCGAGAGCTCGCGGGATTGCGGCTGCACGATCACCTTTGACTTGAAGAAGGAAGCGTCTGGACGGTTCGTCGCCCAACAGCTCCACGGCGTTGCGGTCCACGTTGGCAGAGGCGATCCACTCCTGCAGGTCGTTGAGCAGCACGTCGGGCGCGATGAGGCGCTGGCAGCCAATGGAGAAGATGGTCGGGTCGGGGGCGCGGTCCCAGTCGGCGAGCTTGGTGAGGTCCGTATGGGCGCCTGAGCTTCTGCGAGCGCGAGCGTGTCGCGCATCTGTTCGATATGCTGCCACATCTTCTTCTGTTCGTCGGCTTGGCGGTCTTGTTCACGGCGTGTGCGGGCGACTGCATCATGTAGGGTGTCCACTCGGCGTTCGGTAGCAATGACTTGTTGTGCGAGAATTTGACGAAAGCTTTCACGTGATTCATTAAGTAGAGAGTTGGCCTGGGCTTGGAAGGTGGAGGCGGCGTGTTCGACTTGAGACTGCATGACTTGTTGAAGAGCGGCTTCGACTTCAGGAGCCAGACCTGGGATGCTTGGAAACGATCCAGGCGTGGCTGTTCCTCCTGCGGCGGCGACGGCAGCTGGTATGGCTCCGCCATGATGGACGGCGGCGGCTCCGACGGCTCCGAGAGGAGGAGGAGGAGGACGAGGAGGAGGAGGAGGAGGAGGAGGAGGAAGGAGGAGGAGGAGGAATGCCCCATTTCCACCGTGCCGATCCTGGAAGGCCGGCTCCGAGCACCGGCGGGAGATGTCCTCCAGGAGCCGCCCCGCCTCGCGCCGGGAGAGGGCAGGCCCGGCGAGGCCGCCGCGGGGGCCCCCCAGCAGCCGGCAGGTCCTCCAGCCAGACCTCCGGCCTCCATGGCGCGGCCTCCACTTGGCCTCCGCCAGCTCCCCGCGAGTCATGGAAAACATCGCGACGGGAAGCTGATCGCTACGCTCGGCCCCTGGGGGCCCTTGCCGGGCCTCGGGGCCGCCAAAAAACGACTGGGATGAAAGACGGGCCCCAGGAAACGGGTCGAGACCTCTGGGGGTCGACGTTGTGAAAAAATCGTGACGTCGCGGGTCTGGCCTTGAAGTAGATCATCCTCGGTGTGCTCTCCTCCTCGGGGCTCCCCTCGTAACAGAAGGCCTCGCACTCCGACATGCCCAGCAGCCTCGTGCGCGCATCCTCGGGCGACATGCGCTCCGCGAACAGGTCATCCCCCTCGGCAAGCCACCCGTCACCCATCTCGAAGACTGGCCCAGTGCCCGCGCACTCCTCGAAGCCGAACCAGGTGCCCAGCTCAACGCCCAACTGCCACTCGACCTGGTGTGCCAAGCAGCGGACCTCCGCGTCGTGGCGGTGCGGGAAGACCGCGCTGAGGACCTGGCAGTGCCCCCACTCGCCCCCACCGAGGCCGAACCCCTGCAGCGACCTCTGGCAGGCCGCGGCAACGAGCGCGGCGGTGAGCGACCGCAGGGCAGCCCTGGCGCGGTCGGGCTCCCTCTCCTCGAGGGCACGAACACAAACTCTCGGAGGTCAGCGCGGATTTCGTGGGTCGGCGCTGGATCCCCCTCCCTGGCGCGCTCTGCGCGCCAGGGGAGCCTCAGCGCCGCTCCGCGAAATCCGCGCGGAGCCCTGACGACGGTGTTCACGTCTGTGTCAGTATCGGCTCGCCGATCTCTGGCGACGCTGACGTGAAGCAACGCGGGCTGCACATCGAGCCGCATCGGCGATGCACTGGCGATGCGGAGCGATCCGCCGACCCCATCGATCTACTCCGACCCCGTCTGGGAGGCCTGGACCTACGTCATTATCGGTTCGCCGATCTCCGTCGCCGCCACCAGCTGCCTCGCATCGCTCAGGGCGGCCTGGAAGGCCAGAGCGCCCACGGCGGCGCACAGCTGCCGCAGGAGCTCCCTGGCGCCCGTGGCGGTCAGCGGCGCGGCGGGGCGGGGCTCCGGGGCGGCCGCGCGGCCGGGCCCGAGCCCCGGCCCCAGGAAGAGCAGCCGGCGGCGGATGCCGATGGGGTCCTCGTCGGCGTAGGCCACGAGCGCCTCGTGGAGCCTCCTCACCAGGCGGCCCTGCGAGAGGACGCGCGCGTCGCCCAGCTCGCGCGCCAGCGCGGCCTTCACGTCGCCCATGGTGCCGCCCTCGGGGACCCGGACGCGCACCTCGCCGCCGGAGCCGCCGCCCCCGTGGCCTCGAACGAGCACCTCCACCAGGGCAGGCGTGCGGGGGCCCCGTGCAGGCAGGGGTGGGAGCGCCAAGGCAGGGCCGTCTGGCTGCCCATCTCCCGGGGGGCCCAGGAGAATGCGGTCGAGGATGGACGACTGTGATGCGGACAAGCTGTCGGATGGTCTTTCGGGGCGCGAGAATTGGTCCATCATGTGGAGCACGCCGCGCTGGCTGGCCTCGATGCCGCAGCAGGGCAGCACGTTGATCAAGGCGGCGAGGAGCAGCTTTTGGCGCTCGGCCTCGAACTTCTCGGCGCCCTCGTGCTCCAGCTTGCCCCAGAACTCCCGGAGTCTCCTCTGGAAGCCGGGCCTGCCAAACCGCTCCAGGAGGTCCCTCTGCATCCTCAGCGCCTCCATGAGGGTCAGCCTCTTCAGGGGCGCCTCCTCTGGCGCGGCCTACAGTAGGAGCTCGACTGCAAGAACCCTTCCACAAGAAACCCAACCCTGAGACCCCAGGACGCCCCTTGTTTTCCGGCGTGGGAACGTCACGCCTTCCAGAGCAAAACCATCGAAACCCAAGAAATCCAGGGCACCCTGGAGGTAAAAGCAGGGCTGGCATGGGTTTCCACTGTAACCGACCCCCTCCACGACGACCGCCTTCTGTGACGACCCCCATCACCCGAGGCTCCCCTCGGACCGCCTGCCCACGTCCTGGAGCGAGGCAATGGCGTCGTCACAGAAGGGGTCGGCTTGCGATCCAGACGTGCGACACTTCCTTTTTGTCCGCACGGAGCCCCCGGAGGCCCGGGCCCGCTCCCCAGGACGGGCTTTTTCACCCCGGGCCGCTTTTTTGGACGGTCCTTGGGCCCGGCGACGGCCCCGTGAGGCCGAAAACGGCCACAGACCTCCCGCCGTGCCCTTTGTGACACGACGCGAACATATCTGGGGAAGGGTCGGCCAGGCCGCCCCCGGCCTCCTCCGCCCGCGGCTCTGGGAGCGCAGCCGCCGCCGCGCCCGCCGCGCCCGCGCCCGCCGCGCCCGCGCACTGCCCCGCGAGGGTGCCCGCCGCCGCCGCAGCGCAGGCCGCCGCCGGCGGTGGCCGCCGCCGCCGCCGTGGGCCGCCGCCGAGGGCCGCCGCCGAGGGCCGCCGCCGAGGGCCGCCGCCGAAGGCCGCCGCAGCGCCCGCCGCAGCGCCCGCCGGGCCGCCGCCGCCCACGGCGGCCCGGAGGTCGGTGACTCCCACCAGGCAGAGGGCCCGCCGGGCCCCGAGCTTGTCCGCGTCGCCGATGGACGACAGGGCTGCGCTGCCCGCCCTCCTCTCTGGGATGACCGCGGGGGGCTGCCCGTACCGCGGAGGCCCGCGCCAAGAGACACCCTGCTTTTGCATCCAGGGTGCCCTGGGTTCCTTGGGTGTCGATGGCTCTGCTCTGGAAGGCGTGACGTTCCCACACCAAAAATCGAGGGACGTCCTGGGGTCTCAGGGTTGGGCTTCTTGTGGAAGGTTTCCTGTGGACTGGCCTCCACTGTAGATCCTGGCGTTGCAAGTTTTCGCGAAACGGGCGTTCTCGCTCGGCTTTTGGCCCCAGGTTGCTCCGCAACGTCAGATCTGCTAGCAGGGAGGTTACACGCGGACGCTACGGTGGCCTAATGGCCGGCACAATCGAGAAGTGGCTAAAGATCTGGACGAAGTGGGCTGCGCCCACTGAGCGGAAACATCGAACCCTCCCTTCTGTCGGCCCGGGTAGTCATTCACGAGCGGCGATCATATCCGTATCCGCGCCCTCGTGGTCTGGATTTTGGGCGCGATGCTGCGGATACGCGGTCGCACGGATACGTCCCGCGCGGGGCATCCGCGAGAAATCGCCCCGCATCCGCGGGGCCGCGGCTCAGGGGCCCGGCCCGCGAGGCCGCGGATGCGCGGGGGGGTCCGCCCACGAATCGTGGAGAGGGACTGGCTCGGCGGCCACCGCTGGAAACCCGAGATCCTGGCACGTTGACGCCTCACGCTCACCCCGTTCGCCTTCCGCCGGCCTTCCGCCGCCGACCTGCCGCCGGTGTGCTTCCGCTCGCCTCCGCGGGCACTCCGCGCCGCTCGCGCCGAAGGCGACATGCGCCGAGGGCAGAGCCGCCCTCTCTGGACGCGGGCACAGGAGGAGGAGGAGGAGGAGGAGGAGGAGGAGGAGGAGGAGGAGGAGGAGGAGGAGGGGGCGTCTTCGAAAGCCCCCAGAGACTTCGAGGAAAGAGGGCTGCCTGGAAGTCGGGAGAGCTTGTCTAGAGAAGGTCGGCGGTGGGCCTCGTAGGAGAAGGCGGGGGGGGGCTTCGCATACGAGGAGGCGGGCACATGCGAGGAGGCAGGCGATGAGGAGGCGGGGCGGCTCCTGGAAGCTTTCCCGGAAGGCGGGGGGGGGGGGTCGTACACGAGCCCCCCCCCCCCCCCCTCCTCGCCTCCTCGGGAAGCCACACACCTCGCGCCACCAACTTGTGCACAACGCCGAAATGATTCCCCCCTCCAGCAACAACATGCCCCCCGTGAGGAAACAAGAAACGGATCCTGGGTCCTGGGGCCTTTCCCAAGGAACAGTTGTCACTCCGGTGTCGTGTCCTAACAGTTCCTTGGCTCGACCCGGAAGTCCAGAAACTGATGATGAAAAAAAACATGTAAAACAACAGCAGCAGCAGCAACAACAACACCAGCAACAACAACAACAACAACAACAACAACAACAACAACAACAACAACAACAACAACAGCAACAAACCAAAAAAAACGCTTCCCCTCATGACCCGCTTCCCAAGTGGCGATCGATGGCCCCCCCATCAACGTCCACGCGATCCTGACGAACCGGCCGTGCCTCACGACGTCTGGGCGCCCCAGCGCGTCCGCCAGGGCGGCCTTCACCTCTCAAGATGCCCTCGCTGACGCCACCATGCCAAGGCCCCCCCCGCCCCTCTGTCGCCCATCGACGGTGGAGAAAGGGAGGACCCCTGACAGCCTCGCGTCGTGAAGCAGTAACGACGGAAGGATGTTTCGATTTCTCGGTTTCTGGAGGCCCTTGCAAAGGTCACTGGATCGTCCAAAATTGGCTCGGGATAAAAACTGTCCGCTAGAAGAGGTCCAGACTTTTGGGGGAGCCGCGGTGCGATAAGAACACGACGCGGGATGTCTGTGACTGATGGCGCTTGAGCGCGGTGTTTCTGAGGATCCGATCAGCGGGGCAAATGTATGCGCTTCCAGCTCGCACAACCACTTACCCCGATCGCAATAACCACTGAAACATAAAACCAGAGGCGCGCCAAGGGGGCCTTGAGGCTAAAGCTATCGTGCTACCACTAGGAACGCTGAACAAGGAACGAAGGGCTCTTCTTGCCACGGCGAGCCTCGGCACGAACGCGTTCCCCGACCTAGCTCTTGGGGAAACCCAGCGGCACCAAGACCGCTACTCCACGGTCCCCTCCTGGGGTGCGTTCTCACCAGAAGTTCGAGGCGACTGCAGCGGTGGCAACGAGGGCCTCCCAGCAGGCCGAAGAAGGGGAAAACTTGTGGAGGGCGCTCCGCGCTGAGTTCTTGGATCTGCGCTGGGCCCCCCTCCCTGGCGCGAGGAGCGCGCCAGGGGCGGTGCTGGAGGCGCCACCGGGGGGGGCCCAGCGCAGATCTAAGAGATCAACGCGGAGCGCCAAAAGTTTATGTTTATGGCGCTTTGTCTTCTTCGAGGTAGCGTCATTGGTAGCTGTTCCTCCTCGCCTCATCGAAGGCCTGAGGAGCGGGCCGAAAATCAGAGCGCCCCTCCTACGCTCAGAGTAGTGCTTCTGCCAAGGGTGCCGGCTGTATAGGGGGGCCGGCCTTCTGCGTAATTAGGCTGGGGGCTTCCTGGAAGGGCTGGGAGGCCTCTGAGAAGGCTGCTGAACCTGCGGGGCGCCCTCTGATGGGACGCACAACAACATACTCGTACTATGTGTTCTCCTTGGAGGCGCGCGTCCGAGCCGGACACATAGCATACCCGTCTTGCACCGTTTCCCGAGCGGCGTGGCCAGAAAGCGCCCGCCACGACGCCGACACTGTTAAGATTTCTCGGTGCGCGCGTCGCCCCTGTGGGGGGAGACGCGCACATAGTAGTACTATGTTGGAGTGACGCCGATCGCAAGCTTCCGCGCGCCGCCGAAGGGGGGTCGCCACGGGGGGGCGGGTCGTGAAGGAGACGGGTTGCTGGGTTTTCCCCGCCGTGCTCGGCTTCCCGGGGCCCTCCGCGGGCCCCGGGACTGCCATGAAACGGCTCGGGATGAAGAGCTGGCCCTGGGGGGAGGCCCTGGGGTCCAGGATGAAGAACTGGTCCTCCTCCTCCTCCTCCTCCTCCTCCTCCTCCTCCTTCCTCCTCCTTCCTCCTCCTCCTCCTCCTCCTCCTCCTCCCTCGGCGTCGTGCGCTGTCCCGCCCGCTGTGTAAGGAAGAGCACGGCGTTCAAGTGAAAGCGCCTCCTCGTTTGTGCCGCGCCTCCCCAGCCGTGCCGAGATGTCTTTGAACCTGGCATTCGGTGCGTGACGGCATCCGTGGTTTGACCTCGGATGTTGAAGAATGTTGTCCGTTCGCATCTCCCCCGTTTCCCTCAGGACCCGTTTCCCCCATGCTGAGAGGGGGGGGCTGGAATGGTGGCCGTGAGGGTATCATGCCGGAGGGGCAGCAACATTCATGAAGGTAGACTTTTGGAAGGCCGCGCGGCTTCCTGGGATCGGCACCGAGCCCCCCCTGGAGGCGTCTCCAGCACCGCCCCTGGCGCGCTCGTCCAGCGCCGACCCGAGAACTCTGCGCGGCCCCCCGGACGTCTATACGGCAGGTCCGTGTCGTGTCGACCCTGGCGTTGGTTCCGTACACCGCGGGGATCGTTCAACCTTGAACGATCGGCCGTTTCCGAAACGTCCAAATCGTTCCACGTCGAACGACTCTGGATCGTCCGCGGCGTTCAACGTTGAACGCCGCCGGCGGGGTCGCCGCCGGTCGATACGACACGAGCCTACCGCACACGTGCAGCCCTGTTCGTCTTCGGCCTGCGAACCTCCCCCATGGTCGCGCTGCTCTTCACCCTGACCCGCACCCATCCGTCGCACGGGCCTGCGACGGCGTGTCTCACGAGCACGCAGACCTCCCGAGGGGGGGGGGGGCACGGGCGATGGCGGCGCATCGCGGGCTGTGGCGGCCAAGCGCCTCTCCCGTTCTCGTCGTGCGCCTCCATTCGAGAAACAGGCAATGGCATGAGCAGAAAAACTCGAAGCTCCACGCAGGCTCCTCAAATCGGCGCCGGGGCCCCCTGGCGGCGCTTCTGGCGCCGCCTATGGCGCGCTTCGCGCGCCGGGGAGGGTGGTCTGGCGCCGATCCGAGAAATCCGCGCGGATCTCGAAGTCTTTCTGTTTCTGTTCCCCTACTCATTCTCCCCCTCTCGATGCTGGACTTGTGGGAGGCTCCCTGGCAGAATGCCTCCGCCCGCCACGCGCGGTGCTGCCAGGCGCGCGCGCGGAGCCGACGAAGAGTGCGCCAGCCCGATCGGACTACTGCGGCCATGGACCACGCCCGGGGCTCTTGACAGGAAGATCGTACGAACGAACGGATGAACGCCACTACAGCGAAGGCTGTCCCAGCTACGGGGATGGGCGTGTATAAAGAACGAAGAGTACAAACATAACTGTCGATGATCCGCGCGCACTTCTGGGATCTGCGGTGGCCCGCCTCCCTGGCGCGCGGAGCGCGCCAGAGGTGCTGGAGGCGCCGCCAGGGGGGCCCAGCACAAACCCAAGAAATCCGCGCGAACCTCCAAAAGTGTATGTTAATGCCACGTGTGTTTTTCTTCGAGCGTCGTACCGCATCGACAGGTCGTGAGGGGCGGACGGGGGAGAAAGAGGCAGCAAGAGAATGCACGAATGACCGAACGAACGCCACTACAGCGAAGGCTGCCCCCACGACGGGGATGGCGCGCCGCGCCGCAGCGAAGGGTCGTGGGGGGGCGGAATGGGCAGGAAGATCGGGGGGGTCGCCAAGGCTGCCCCTGGCCTTTGGTGCCTCTCCAGCTCTCCTCTGCACTCTGGAGCCCCCAGGGGCCCCCTGGCCCTCGTGATGGGGGTGCTCTGGAGGCCGTGGGGGCTGGGGGCCTCCCTGGGAAGTCCTGGGGGGCACCCTGGGGCCGTGGGCACCGCTGGCAGCCCCCGCGGCGAGCGCGCGAGCGAACGCGAGCGCGGGGGAGGCGCCGCGCTGGGAGGCCCGCCCGTGCCCCATGGGGGGCACGGGCGTGCCTCTCCCTCCCGCCTCCCGCCGCGCCCCTCCACGCCAGCCGTCGCCTCCTCCTGCGCCCTCCCCCCTCTCTCCTCGTCCCTTCGCTTTCCCGTCGTCGTCCTCTTCCGCCTCCACCACCTCCTCCTCCTCCTCCTCCTCCTCCTCCTCGTCCTCCTCCTGCTCCTCCTCCTCCTCTCCTCCTCCTCCTCCTCCTCCTCCTCCTCCTCCTCCTCCTCCTTTTCCTCTCCGTCCTCCTGCACCTTTTTGAGTTGGGCCAACTTCGAGCGTAGCTCGAAGCGTCGTGATCCTCATCCATCTCCTGCTCCTCCTGCTCCTCCTGCTCCTCCTGCTTCTCCTCCTTCTCCTCCTCCACCTCCTCTTCCTCCTTCTCCAGCCTCCCGCTCTCCCTCTCTCTCTCTCTCTCTCTCTCTCTCTCTCCTGCTTTCTTCGTTCCGCCGGCGTCGTCGTCGTCGTCCTCGTCGACGTCCTCCTCCTCATCCTCCTCATCCTCCTCCTCCTCCTCCTCCTCCTCCTCCTCATCCTCCTTCTCCTCCTTCTCCCTCTCCTCCTCTATATCCTCTGCTTGTGTCCATGGCACATCGAGCACGCGCTTGCTGTACTCCTGCTCACAGCCCCTACTGCACCAGCAAACTCGCAGGTCTGCCCGAATCGCTCCATCTCCATCCCCCCTCCTTCTAAGGGGGGAGGGGTCCGCGCGGATATGTTCGGCCCCCCGCGCGCCAGAGGAGAGGCGGACCCGCGCGCCAGGAGCGGGGCCAGCGCAGATCGAAGAAATCCGCGCGGCCCGTCGAAAGTTCATGTCTGTGCAGTTGTCCTTATATTTGTGGAGAGCAGAAGGAGGAGGAGGAGGAGGAGGAGGAGGAGGAGGAGGCGGGAGATGAGGATGAGGATGAGGGGGCGACAGGCATGACCTGCTCGTCGCACTCCGTCACCTCGGCCACCCCGTCAGCGAACAGCGGAGCAGCTGTCGCAGCCTCTCCTTGCCAGGCAGAAGCCAACGCTCGCCCCTCAATGACTCCTCCTCCCCCTCCTCTTCCTCCTCCCCCTCCCCCTCCTCCTCCTCCTCCTCCTCCTCCTCCTCCTCCTCCTCCTCCTCCTCCTCCTCCTCCTCCTCCTCCTGCTTCACCTCATCCGCATCCTCGACGTCCTTCCTCTCCCGCTCCCAAAACTTCGGCACCCGTGAGGGCAAGGAGGAGGAGACCAGAAGGGCTCAAGCTCCCGGACCTACCGACCACTTGCAGTACTGCCCCAACGAAGGCACAACGCCACTCCCACTTTGCATCCCAGCCTGCACCAGCACATCCACGACTGCTGCGCCTTCGACCTCCCGCTCACCGCAAGAGCGGGCGTACACCACGGCTTCGGCGCGACATCAACCTGCACCCTTCCCCATTTGTCAAGGCCTCCCGGATGGGGTCCGAGTAGATGGGGTCGGAGGACCGCGCCGCATCGCCAATGCATCGCCGATGCATCGGCGATGCATTGGCGATGCACCAGGGACGCTGGCGATGCATCGGCGACATCGGCTTAGGGAAAATCGCGCTCCGCGCCGAGCCGCATCTCCGATGCATCGGCAATGCGGCGCAATCCTCCGACCCCACCTGCTCGGACCCCATCTGGGAGGCCTAGACTTAGGTCGGGCATGTCCCCCTACAGGCGGAGTTTAGACAAGAATCAAGCATACTCCAAACGGATTCAAAAATGGCCCAAAAGAGTCGACACACATCGCCCCCGGACTATTTTGAAACTACTGTGTTCGACTACTCCTCCCGCAGAGGGACCGGCCCGACTCAAGCCTGGGCCTGCACCCCTTCCTGGTGTTCCCGGAGGAGGAGGAGGAGGAGGAGGAGGAGGAGGAGGAGGAGGAGGAGGTGGAGCAGGAGGCGATCATGTCTGGGAAAGGCCAAGGGCGGCGGCCAGTGGCGCAAGTGGGCCCGCCCGCCAGCGGGCGCGGACGGCGGCGCGCGGCCCGCCGGCCGTCGGCGGGCTTCCCCCCCACTTCCTATATTTTCCCATATCTTCGGGGGACTCGAGGATTAAGTGTGTCTGTGTGCTTCTTTTCCTCCTGAAATACATCAGCCCACGTGCACGTCTCCGAAGAGAAGAGAGGAAAGGGGCACAGCCATACACTTCTGGCGCTCCGCTCGGACTCCTTGGATCCGCGCTGGGACCCCTGGCGGCGCCTCTAGAGCGCCCCTGGCGTGCTCCGCGCGCCAGGGAGGGAGGCCCAGCGCAGAGCCAAGAAACCCGCGCGGAGCGCCAACAGTTCATGCTTGTGACACTGTTTCTTCTTCTGCGTCTGTGACTCCGCCTCTCTCCGCCCGCCCCGCTTCGCTCTCCCTCCCCTGGCGGCGTTCTGGTCAGTGGGTCCCGCCGCCGCCGCCGCCGCCGCCTACTGCTCCTGTCTGCCGTCGCGAGACGGCGTTGGCACGAGGTTGATCGGCACCGATGGGCACTCAGCGTTTTCACTGGTGCTACGTCCGTAATGCACACTGTGCCGTGGAACCACGAGGTGCAAGTCATCCACTGAGGCCCCGAGCACGCTTAGACCTGCAGCGCAGACCAGGACAATCCAGGATCATCCTCTCTGCTGTCTTCGCAGTGAGGTGCCGCCGCCGCCGCCCCACACCGTCGCCCCACCCCTTCGCAAGGGCGAACTTTTTACCGGCCTCCATCCCGCCGAGACCACAGGGAAACGGGCCAACGGTCGCGTCTGCCCGTCAGACTCGGGGACCACCAGCGTAAGCGCCAGGGGGGGGAGGAGGGAGGAGGGAGAGTAGGAGGAGGAGGAGGAAGAAGAAGAGGGGAGGACGATGTGGAGAGATGAGGAGGAGGAGGAGGAGGAGGAGGAGGAGGAGGAGGAGGAGAAGAAGGAGATGGAGGAGATGGAGGAGAGTGAGGTTTACACGTGAGACTGCTGCTCCTCGCTCCTCCCAAAGTCCCCCTGCATCGAACTATTATTGTTGAGTGAGTGGATCCTCCTAGAATCGAAACTTCGATGTTAAGGGACCATCCTGATGTCCATGAGGATCCTTACAGTCAACGTCTTGCTGCAAGGAACCAGTAACGAGGAACGGAGCCCCGTCATTCCTCTACTCAGGGCGATCCCTTCAAGAGATCCCCAAAGAATGTTCGAATGAAAATCAAAGCAACCCCGAGCCACCCCTGATCCAAACGCGTCTCTACCTCCGACGTGTGGACTGCACGGCAAGCCCGTGACGCGACGACGACGGCATTTGTCTCTGGCACCGCGCTGATCATTCATTCCACCATGAAAGATCGCGCCTCTCCCACAGCGCAGATGTCTCGATACAGATTTGGGGCCGCCGGTGGCCTTCAGCACTGGACGCCCCCGCTGGGGTCGCCACCGCGTCGACGCGCGCGAACCTACCGCAGTGCCAGCTCGCCGACTCTCGAGATCCTCCTCGGCTGCTCCTTCCTCCCGGTCACAGAGCCAGATGGACGAGGCACGGAAGGATGCGGAGGGCGGGAGGAAGGAGAAGGACGAGGGTGTAGGCGACAACTCCTCGTCTAGAGGCCTCCTGGACGGGGTCGGAGTAGATGGTGTCGGAGGCTCGTGCCGCATTGCCGATACATAGGCGATGTGTCGGCGATGCACAGGCGATGCATCGTCGACGTGGGCGACGCATCGGCAACGTCGACGTGAAGCAAATCGGGCTCCGCATCGAGACGCACCGGCGATGCATCGGCGATGCGGCGCCATCCTCCGACCGCATCTACTCGGACCCCACCTGGGAGGCCTAGACCGTCCCCCCCATCCACACACACGGGGATCTCTCCTGAATCATTCTCGGCCTCTGCGGCCAGCTGCACAGCGGCGTCCCGGGCGGGGGCCGCGGCGGCGCCGTCGCCGCTGCCGTCGAGCGAGCTTCTGCTCTGGCGGACGGGGAACTTCGCTGACACCATCGACGGCCGGTGCTTGCCCAGGGGCGCGGCGTGAGTAAGGTGAGCCTCCAAAGAATCAGTAGTGTGGTCACAGAAATCGCATATAATGCTTGAGCCGTGCACGGAATCGGATTCAAGGTGAGCCCCGGGGGAACGACGAAACAGTGCGCACACAACGTAGCCGGCCAGGTCTCTTCGTGCCGCTTCAGCCGATGGCGCTTTCCAGAGAACCCTCGTTCGCAGCACTTGCGAGCTGCCAGCTGAGGCGAGCGAAAAGAAGCGCGTTTGTTGCAGATGTTGCATGCCTCGATAGACGAGGAGGGCAAAAGCGAGCCGCGCCCCATCGACTCAATCGATCTCGCGACCCAGATCAGAACCCGTGGACAAAGGAGCAGGGCGAGCGCGGGAGGCAGGCCGAGTGGCAAAGAGCTGGAGCGGTCTTCCCACGCACTGCTCCTCGCCCCTCTGCTGCCGAGAGAAACAAGGAAGAATGAGCCTTACTAGTTAATCAATTGTCTAAAAGATGTTGAAAAAGAAACGAGCATATAGTAATCTACCGTCGTCGAATCTGTTATTGTCCCGGCGACGTTTTTTCAACAAACAAAGAAAGAGCGAGAGAGAGAGAGAGAGAAAGAAAAAAAATGTGAGTTTCATCCAAACTTGTTACAACAATAGGCATCGGTGGGGGCGGGAAGGGGAAGGCACTGGAGCCGGCCTTTGCAGGCGCCCGCCCTGGGCCCTTCAGCACAGGCTGAGCGAGGGGGGACTGCCTTGCGGATGGCACCTGCAGCATCGCAGCCACCCGGGTCAGCGATTCCTCATCCGACAGGCTGGACTTCAGTTGGCGAGCGGAAAGCACGTGAGACAATCATCAAATCAAAAAGTAAGGTTCCGTCCACGGTTCGGTGTGTGTGTAGGTGCCCACCCAGCGCTGGAATGGTGCAGCGGCACAAGACGTGCATTATGAGCCAACCGAGCGAGCCTACACTACAACAAAATACACATCACATGCGTATCGCCTTCACCCAGCATGAGCAACACGCATTCACATGTACTTCTTTCTCATATGACACGCCCAGCCTGCACACGCTGTACGTATGGAACGATGATGGGTGAATTGTAAGACTGATGGCTGAATACACCCCCACGAGATCCACACCCTAGTGCTATATTCCACCTTGAACTCTTGGCAACCACTTGGCCGACTTCGGGCACCCCGAATTCAAGAATGTTGACCTACCGCTCACCTCCATTTCCGCCGCCCTCCGACGACTTCCCGCAGGCTTCCTCTGAGGGAGCCGACGCTGCGTCGCTTCCGAAAACTTCCGCCGACCATCCCCCACCCACCACCAGATTCGAGATGAGCCGAAAGCGAGGTGCACCGAAGGCGAGGTGAGCCGAAGACGAGGCCCTTCCTGGCGAGCCCAACATGGAACTTGCATTCTCATTGGCCGACGCTGAGCGCCAGCATTCGGACGGCACGGTTGGGCTCCAGCCTCGGAGCCGCGAGGAGCTCCCCGGGTGTTCCTCACGCTGGGCGGATTCTGAACAAGCTCGCGGCTTGGCTCGCAGGCGGGATGGGGGAGGGGGGGGTGGGAGCGGATGATGATGATGATTATGATGATGATGACGATGACGATGATGATGGTGATGATGACGATGATGATGATGGTGATGATGTGATGATGATGGTGATATGAGGATGCTGATGCTGATGCTGATGTTGATGCTAAAGATGATGCTGATGCTGATGCCGATGGTGGTGATGATGATGCTGCTGCTGATGATGATGATGATGATGCTGATGCTGCTGATGCTATGATGATGATGATGACTCCGATGAGGATGATGATGATGATGACGATGATGATGATGATGATGCTGATGATGATGATGATACTGCTGATAATGATGATGCTGATGCTGGTGCTGCTGATGCTGCTGATGCTGATGGTGATGCTGATGCCGATGATGATGACGCATATGATGATGATAATAATGATGATGATGATGACGATGATGATGATGATGATGCTGATGCTGCTGATGCTGATGCTGATGCTGATGCTGATGATGATGATGATGATGATGCTGATGCCGATGATGATGATGATGATGATGATGATGCTGATGATGCTGATGCTGATGCTGCTGATGCTGATGATGATGATGCTGATGCCGATGATGCCGATGATGCCGATGATGATGATGATGATGATGATGCTGATGGTGAATGTGATGGTGATGATGATGATGATGATGAATATGATGATGATGATGATGATGATGATGATGATGATGATGGTGATGATGACGATGATTATGCTGATGGTGATGATCTGATGATGATGGTGATATAAGGATGCTGATGATGATGCTGATGTTGATGCTGATGATGATGATGATGATTAAGATGCCGATGGTGGTGATGATGATGGTGCTGCTGCTGATGATGATGATGCTGATGCTGCTGATGCTATGATGATGATTCCGATGATGATGATGACGATGATGATGATGATGATGATGCTGATGATGATGATGATACTGCTGATAATGATGATGCTGATGCTGGTGCTGCTGATGCTGCTGATGCTGATGGTGATGCTGATGCCGATGATGATGATGCATATGATGATGATGATGATGATGATGATGATGATAAGGCTGATGCTGCTGATGCTGATGCTGATGCTGATGATGATGATGATGCTGATGCCGATGATGATGATGATGCTGATGATGATGCTGATGCTGATGCTGCTGATGCTGATGATGATGATGATGCTGATGCCGATGATGCCGATGATGCCGATGATGATGATGATGCTGATGCTGATGGTGATTGTAATGGTGATGATGATGATGATGATAATGATGATAATGATGATGGTGATGATGATGACGATGATGATGATGGTGATGATCTGATGATGATGATGATGATGATATGAGGATGCTGATGCCGATGCTGATGTTGATGCTGATGATGATGCTGATGCTGATGCTGATGCCGATGGTGGTGATGATGATGCTGCTGCTGATGATGATGCTGATGCTGATGGTGCTGATGCTATGATGATGATGTTGATGATGGTTCCGATGATGGTGATGATGATTATGATGATGACGATGATGATGATGCTGATGATGATGTGGCTGCTGATAATGATGATGCTGATGCTGGTGCTGCTGATGCTGCTGATGCTGATTGTGATGCTGATGCCAATGATGATGATGCATATTATGATGACGATGATGACGATGATGATGCTGATGCTGCTGATGCTGCTGAGACTGATGCTGATGATGATGATGATGATGATGATGCTGATGCCGATGATGATGATGATGATGCTGATGATGATGTTGATGCTGATGCTGCTGATGCTGATGATGATGATGCTGATGCCGATGATGCCGATGATGCCGATGATGATGATGATGATGATGATGATGATGATGGTGATTGTGATGGTGATCATGATGATGATGATGATGATGATGATGATGATTATGATGATGATGATGATGATGATGATGATGATGCTGATGATGATGACGTTGGTGATGATGATGGTGGTGGATGAGGACTGACTAGAATTTCGAGGCGAACCCAGTCGTTGGCGACGAGGGCCTCCCAGGAGGCACAAGCAGGCGATAAACGAAGGAAGGGCGGCGTGCCGCGCGCCGAGGCGTGGCTGGCCAGAGCCGAAACCAGGGCCCCCGACCGTACCTCTGCAGCAGCTTTCCCCCTCTGGGGCGGGGGCAGGGGCAGGGCCAGGGGCAGAGTAATAGCAAGGGCTCCCAACTTCGCACTTCGCGCTCTCGCGCCGCCTCCCAAGGGAGAAGAGGAGGATGAGGAGGAATCGGAGCCGAACCGCGAAGCTAGAAGCGCGAACAACTTCGCGCCCTCGAGGGCGCCCTTGGTAATAGAGGCCTCCTGGATGGGGTCGGAGTAGATAAGGTCGGAGGATCGCGCCGCATCGCCGATACGTCGGGGATACATCGCCGATGCATCGGCGATGCATCGGCGATGCACCG